GGGCCCGTGGGGCAGGCAGAGGCCCTGCGGGGAGCGGGCACGGCCAAGGCCCCCCAGCGCCCGCTCTCCCTCCACAGCACGTACAGATGTGACGGGACAGTTTTATTTATCTCTCTGCTTTACAGGACGTGGTTTCTCTGGGGCACTGGTGGGGACACGGAGACCGCTTGCGCTGACAGGGAAGGGGCAGGGGCTGGCAGGTGGATCGCCTCTCCAGAGGGCTGCAGGGAGGCATCCCCGTGTCTGTGCTGAGGAACAAATGGCCTCTTCAGGAAGCTCAACCCCAAAAGCAACTCCAGATGCCATCGGGGGGCTGAAAATAGGAAACATACATTTGCAGGATGTTTTGCAAATCTACAGTGGTAAAACAAGCACAAATACTACCTGCACAGAGCAAAGACAAGAAGGGGAGTCTCCCATTCTCTTGAAGCACACATTTAACACTGGTACAGCTCTGTCCCCTGCACGGGCTTTTGGCAGTGGTTTCTGCTTAAGCGTCTGAGCGTAATGCCTGGTGAGTTATTTGCCACATGAACTAGGTTTGGAAGAGAAACTGGGATGTGAAAGTGCCATGTCTGCTTTAATCTGTCCTCTGGGAATCACAGAGATTCCCTTTTGCTTCATTATTCCACCTTGGGTTACCCCCCCTACAGAGCATCGGCAGAGATTCAGCCCGTGACCACTAACAGCTCTCCTCGGAGGGCTTCTTGGTGCCTTGAAGGATCAGTGCTGAAGCAGATGCCCTCTTCTGATGCCGCCACTTGGCCCGACGATTTTTAAACCAAACCTAGAAAGTGCAAAACAAGAAAACAACTTTTGAATTTCATGTGTTACTTGGAGAGGCGCAGGCAGTTACACTCCTGGACTGTACAGCGTAAGCTTTAGGATACTGCATTATATTTCCTGATATAAAAGTTTGATACAAAATTTAATCATTCCCTCCCCTACAATCCTGCTCAGATACATGTAAGGGCCACAAGGGAGCTGGGACCCCCTATGGCAAATTCAGAAGTCATGCAGATCACATAAATAAGGAATATACACTGGGGTGCAGGGGATGAGCAGAACTGGGCATGTGTGTGTGTTTACATAGGTGATTCTGGGAGAGAGTGTGTGAGTTTATGGGACCGGACACCAGAGCAAATCAGCCCAGCAGAACTGTTTTCTATTCTCCCATTCTCTTGCCAAACCTAAACTGTGTTTTGCCGAATACCCAAGAATTTTTTTAAAAATGAGGCCCTGGGTCTGCAGCTGCCGAAAAAGACAATGCAACGCCCCAGTCTGTGTTGTTGGGGGGCTGCAGCAAACAGCACCTCACCGAGTGGCAGGATCTCACCTCTACCCTCTCCTCCTTTAAGTGAATGCGGTTTGCCAGGTGCTCGCGGGTGATGACATCTGGATACTGGTTCTGATGGAAAAGCGTCTCCAGGGCCTGCAACTGGTCCTCGGTGAATATGGTGCGATGCCGGCGCGTCCGGCGCTGGATCTGGTGAAAAGTCTGCAGCTCACTCGCGTTCCCCTGGGGGCTCTTACAGACCCTGACTGCCGACTGGAAGAGACGCATGGGCCAGGGGAACCGGGCATCTGCAAGGGGAGAGGTACAGCGACAGTGTTAGAGGTGGGGGGCTGAAACACCCATCTTGCTCAAGGCAGTTCAGGCACAAGTTGCACCCATGCTTGTTGTGGGAAGGAGACAGCCGGCCAGCTGGTGTGGGTGACAAGCTGCATCATCACCATGCCAGTGAGAGAAGGGCTTAGGGCACCCCTGCGGGAGAAGCGTGCAGGTGGGGAGCACTGGCTGGGTTTTCCTTCTTTACTTACCAACCACACCATGGCTAGCTCCAGAAAATGGACGGAAACTCGCAGCCCAGCTAGGAGCTTTGTTTCAATCCTGACACGGGGGATTTCTGAACTTTCAGGATGGTCCTGAGCTGCATTTTTAAGGGGTTTTTTTTACTTTTTCGGGGGGGGTGTTGGTTTTTTTTGTTTTGGGTTGGGGTTTTTTTTGTTGCTAGATGTAGCCAAAAACTCTTTTCCTTAAAGGACAAGCGAGGTTCTCACCTCAGGAAGCACAGGCACAGCTCTGCACATGGGCAGCATAACCACGGGGCCCCACACTCCACGGAGAACTTCCACCCATAGAAGCATCATCCCCTTAAGTGTTTTACAATGAAACAGTAATATACAGTAATAAATAGCCCCTGCTGCTTTTAAAAACCTGGTAGCATTGTAGGTAGAAGTGCCTGCTCTTTGGAGGCATGCTGAGAACGGATCCTGCTGCCCCTCGCCGGAGCTAAGGTCTGAGCAAGCCACCGTGGTGACAGGCCAGATGCTATATTGTCACTCAAAACCCGGGTTTTCCCCTCCACCCGGCGCTGGCACCAGCCCCTCCAGGAGCCCTACACCATGAATCAAACCCAAACACTCACCCAGCCAACTCGGCAAGTCCTGCAGGGAACGGGCGCTCGTGTGGGAACAGCAGCAGCAGTTGCAACCTGCACTTTCCAGCTCTTCCTCCTCCTCTTCCTCCTCCTCCTGCAGGGAGCTGGCTGGGATGGTCTCCAGCTCACACAGCCCCTTGGGTGCGCAGTCCAAGATGCCCCGCAGGCACAGTGGGACCAGAACCTGGGGGCTCTTCTCTGCTGGGCTAGAAAGGATGTCCTCGATGCTGAACGAACACGGCTTCTTGAGGCCTCTCCTGCCGGCGTCGGTGTCCGACGCTGGCTCCGAAGACATCCTCTCCTGGCAGCAGCAGCTGCAGGAACAGGCAGCTCAGGGTGAGCGGGATTTGCTCGCTGTGCGCTAACTCTGGAGTGGGGTCTCACAAGGAAAAAGACAGCTTACATAGCTTTTAAAATGGACTGGCGAAGCCATCCAGAATCGCTGCTTTTTCTTGGCATTTCAAGTGACTGTCATTCTCACAGCCGAGTTTTTATTTTGTACATACACACACTTTTTCTCCTTCTAACCTAGCTGCTCTATGACTGAAGCCACCCTAAATATATATATATAGAGAGAGATATAATCCCTTTGGAAAGAAAACCGTAAACCCCCTTGTGAATAAAATAAATTCTAACTAATCTTGGCAGCTTTGTGAAGGGTTAGTGTGGATCTAAGATTTAGCTAATCCCACAAAAATGACTGGAGAAGGAAATCTGATTTCTCCATCTCGGGTGTAGATTTGAGGTGGTTATGATCTCCATTGTGCTGCAGCCTCCGATCCAAGGAAGGGGGAGGATAGCTGTTCCCAGCCCGGAAATGGACCAGAGGATTAACTCCTTAAAAGAAGCAAATTATCCTTTTCTCTGGCCAAATGAAAGCTTTCCCATCAAAAGAGAGCTGTCATATCATACAATATGAGAGAGGAGAGTTCAGCTTAATAAAAAATCATTTTTAATGATAGCACAGCCTTTGGCTGCTCCAGAACTCTCGGTGAAAGTTGATTTATTTTCTGCTGAAAGCAGAGAAATTGTATTTTCCCTCGTTCCCCTTTCCCCTACCTCTGCTGCCCTAATCACAGTGGTAATGCAGATGCTTTGCATGGATCCAACATACTCTTTGTAAGGATACAAAGCCCTTAATAAATTAGATTACTGGCAGCTCGCAGCAGCTCTGTGGCATAGCTCAGTGGCCTGTATCCCTGCTCAGTGCCGGGAAGGGAAGGGGAGGAGTGCTGCTTGCTGCCTTCGTGTGCAGGCGGGCAGCGAGGTCCTGCAGCAGCGCAGGCAGGAATGTGGTCTCGGTGCCATAGCTGATGGGTGGTTCACTGAGCGCAGAGCAGCCAGGACGCTGCCTGGGGCAGCCAAGCTTCCCCAAAGCTTTGTCAGTCCAATTCCCAACTTCTTCTGTCCAGCAAGAGAAACAGAGGTGAGGCTACGGCCAAAAGTCGTGATTCAGGATGGAAGGGGACGCCTGGCACCGACCCTCCCAAGGGCAAACAGGAACGCCCAGCAGATGCAATCCGTGGAAGGAGAAAAGACATCTTCTGTCTTGGGTTTATAACTGAAATGAGTAGCTGGGGTTAAAATAGAGAACCTGTGGTTGAGCTCAGGTTGCTTAGGGAAGTTTAAACCCAAGTTCTCTTGCCCTCAGTGCGCTTTAAGCCAAGATGTAAGTAAGGCTTAAGTAAGGCTTCAGGGGCTCACACGGGGAACGCTCTCCCACATGATATTTCTTTGCAGGTGAGAGAAGATACCAGTCCCACTCATGGCACACTGAGGAGACACACAGGTGAGTGCTGTGAAACCACTGTGCATCAAAGGTCCTCGTGGCACCTCATGATTCACGCTGAACAGCCCAGCAACCCCTCCAGCACCGCGCGAAAATGAGAGCCGGTCTCCAGGAGAGCCTTCTCTCAGTCCCCGTTTTTTTCTCCTTGGCCCTGTTTCCTGCCTGTCCTTCCTCACCCTGCTGGTCCCCCAGTGCTGGGAAGAGATGCCCCACAGCCACTCTACCTCTGACCTTCAAATCTCTGTAAAATCTCACTTAAAAACAAACCACTGTTTTTTCTTCCATCCGTTTATTTGCCTCTCCTCCAGCTGTTCCGATGGCATAACGTGTTATAACCATGCTCTGTGAATCTTTACATATTTGCTGTAGGTTTGAGAGGATGACACCTTTGTAGCCGCCTGGTTTGGACGTGTTCACTGCTGCCCTGCCAAGGCGTCAGCGCTCCAGAGGGGCACTGGGGATGCACTAACGCCAGGGATCATCGCAGACCGCTCCCAGCTTTTATACATGAACCCAAACGCTGATGCAGATGGATGTGGGGCCGGCTTCTGCTCCCCACACCATGTCAGTCCAGAGGGAACATAGGGCAGGCAGGTTGGGACGTGCCATGGGCAGGCACAGGATCTGACCTTTTCTGCTCTTGGCTGTAATAATCATAGGCCCGAAGCGGATTAATTCTCATTCCCCATCCTTAACAAAAGACGCCTTTCCCTGCCCCCCCCGCCCGTCCCTGCCTTCCCACTGCACATGCACTTAGCCTATTAGGATCTCCGCTGATTGCTTTCTTTCATGCCTCCCGTACCTTTCACTTCAGAAAATGGACTGGTAATACTTCTTTTATCAAAGAATTATGGGATTTAGGACCCAGATCTTACAAAGAGACTTTTGATAGCTGCTGGTAATCAAATCCCAATCGGCAGACACTTCTCTGCACCCTGTTACTGGAGAGGAATAAAGGAAAGGGATTATTGATGTTCTGTTTACTGAGCCTCCAGGAGATAGGATCGCTGGGCTATTTCATATTAGAAAAGGAAAGGAAAATAAAACAAGCAAGAAAAAAAATGCAGACAAGAGAGGACAATATAGATATAGATAAAAAGAAAAGAAACAGGCTCTTATCATTTTCTTATTGGTTAAGGAGATTCCAAAGCCATTATAGAGGATTAGCAAAAAGGTTAATCTGCTTTAGCCATTCACTTGTCAAAAGTGAATTTATAGGGTTTGAAAATCCTTCGTATGGTAAAACCAGAAAAAGTCCCCCTCTCCCTCCTCTGCCCCTCCCTTCGGCAGGCAGCACAAGGGGATGGGACTGGGAGCCTTGGAGACCCTAAAACAGAGGAGCACCTTCCCTCACCCTGCCCCTGCCTGGGCACTTGCACCCGTGGGAGCTCTGGTTTGGCTCTCCCTTACCCATGTGGGGTGGCCACAGGGCTCAGGGAGTGGAGAAGCAGGTCCAAGGAATGTGGCCATGCTCCCACACTGCTCTGACTTACCTGGGGCAAATCCTAGGCTGTTTCCGTGGTTGGTATCAGCAGCAGTCAGGGCAAACCTGGACCCATGACTGTATTTGGGCATCCAGGTTGATTTATAAAGCGGAACAGAGGTGGACGCAGCTGGCAAATGTTGCGAAAAACTCCAGGCTGGGGCTTATCTGTCCCCAAGCACAGTGCTCACCCAGGGAGCCACATCTCAGCATCCTCCTGGTCACCCAGCGCAGATGCTGGCCTGTCCCAGCCATGCTCTCCTGGCCTGCCCATGCCACTGATTTGCCCAAGTGGCTGATGCCCATCGCTCACCCCAATGCCACTGTGAGAAACAACCTGGTGGAAAAACAATCCTTCAGGGAAGTCAAAACCAGCCAGGAGTACATTCTTGATAGCTGCTGGGTGAAGTTCAATGGCATGCATTAGTCAGGAGTTATAATTACATTTAAAAAAGACACAGAAATCATAGAATCATAGAATGGTTTGGGTTGGAGGGGACCTTTAAAGGTCATCTAGTCCAACACCCAAATCATGTCTGTTAGAATAGTTCAACCCTGTACCAAGTGAGGAAAAGAACCCAAATAAAACCGTTGGATTTGATGATAATTAACATCAAGTGTTATAATAAATCTGTTTCTCTCTCCAAAGGCCATTCCACCCCGCAGGAAGAGGTGGAGTCCCTCCACTGGCGGTTAGTGATCCTAGTAATAATAGGGACGCTGGCTATAGGGATGCTGGCTAACAGGGATGCCGGCTAACAGGGATGCTCTCAGGGATGCTGGCTAACAGGGATGGTCCCCGTGGCGTAGCAGGAGGACTGTGGGGAACCAGCCCTCTTCTGATGCAATGAGGCACGATGGAGTGAAACAACTCTTTCAACCTGAAGCATTTCATTTGGTATTCCGGAGACCTTACAGCCACCATCTCACGCTGTCCGGCAGCAACCATCACCTCCCCCGTTTTCAGCCCTTCTGGGGGCTCTCGCTTTCCACCGACTATGGAAACAGCTTGAGATGATGTTGCCTTTTTAAGCCCTGATTTTTAGCCTGCGGTGGATCCAGGGTCGTGCTGAAGGCTGCGGGGAAAGGCGAGCATCCCCGCCCGGCGACT